AAGAAGAAAAAAAAGGAAACCCTAACCATTTAGTCTCACTAGAACTCAATAGCAGACCTTGGCAGAAATTAAGATGAAAGCAAATATTTTTTCAAACAGCAGATATAAATATCAAATATATATCAAATATATTTGTATCAAATGTTATCAAATTTTATCTATTTGTATCAAATAGATATAAATATCAAATATATTTGTATTAAATCTGTTACCATGTAATTTGAAAAATGTCTTGGGGTCAAAGTCATTAGGATCCAATCCATCAGTCTCTTCCCATACCTCTTTTAGTTGATCTTTGCTTCCCTGTGAATCAATTTTAAAAAATTGCTCAAAACAAAATATAATATATCTGTACAGACTCAAAATATAAATTTGAGGAACTTTGGAGAATTAAGAATCAAGATTTAAGTACTAATAACATGATAAAATTCTGCTAATACAAAGAAGTATCTTTATCTAAAAATGGTTTCATAAAGTCACAATCCTTACTGGATGATTAACTTTAGGGTGATTTTCATGCTTTTTCTTCATTTCTTGAAATTTAGATTCTTCTTCTTTCCTCTTTTCTTCACTCAATGTTTTTAAATATTCTCTCCTTTCATGTTCCTTCATCATTTCATATTTTTTAAATTCTTCATGTCTAGTCTTGTCATAGTGTTCCAGATCACTTGTTGCCTGAAATGCGATAATGCATTTAAGTTAAATAAAAACATGCATTTGAAAAATGTAAATAAAGCCATTCTTGAATGTAGCAAATTGTTGAATAGAAGAGGTACAGGAGGGCAAAAACATACTGGACTCCTCTTTTTTTTTTTTGAGATGGAGTCTCGCTCTGTCACCCAGGCTGGAGTGCAGTGGCACGATCGTGGCTCACTGCAACTTCAGCACCTCCCAGGTTCAAATGATTCTCCTGCCTCAGCCTTCCAAGTAGCTGGGACTACAGTCATGCACCACCACGCTTGGCTATTTTCAGTAGCAGTGGGGTTTCGCCATATTGGTCAGGCTGGTCTTGAACTCCTGAAGTCATGATCCACCCACCTCGGCCTCCCAAAGGGCTGGGATTACAGGCATGAGCCACCACGCCTGGCCTGGACTCCTCTTTTTTAATTCCACCATTTAATTTTAGTCAAGTTTATTTTTATTTTTTAATTTTTTATGAGACAAGTTTCACCTGTCGCCCAGGCTGGAGTGCAGTGGCACAATTTTGGCTCACTGCTGCTTCCATCTCCTGGATTCAGGCGATTCTCCCACCTCAGCCTCCTGAAGCCTCTCGAGTAGCTGGAATTACAGGCGCTCACTACCATGCCTGGTTAATTTTTGTATTTTTAGTAGAGATGGGGTTTGACCATGTTGACCATGTTGGCCAGGCTGGTCTCAAACTCCTGACCTAAGGTAATCCACCCACCTCAGCCTCCCAAAGTGCTGGGATTACAGGCATAAGCCACCATGCCTGGCAATTTTAGTCATTATTACTAGAGATGTAGGTAGTCAAAGAAACTAAAAGTTCAAAGCCAGCCCCAACTTTAGGAAGCTCCTCATAAGCAAGTAATATTTAAGTTGATTTCAAAAAAAAAAAAAAAAAGAAGAAGAAGAAAGGAACTATATCAAATCTAGACAGTTTAGAAATTTTAAATGGCTTCTAACTTAAGTAAGCTAATACCTGCCAGGTTGGAACTAATTCTATTCACACATAATGTGAGAGGTCCACAAACTCATCTAAAATCCTCGAGGCCATATGTGCTTCAGAATTTTCTACCTTAAAGAAAGGGAATATGGCACATATGCCATGTTATAGAATATCCCTGTAGCATCTGTAATCAAACAGACTAGTATTTCTTAAGGAAAATCTATAAATATTCACACTAAGTAGACTAAATAAAAACTGTAAATGGTATTACTGTAATTGGTTCATTCAAGCCAGATATCAGTTTCTATAGCTTTTGGATTTAGGAATTGCGGATAAGAGATTTTAGACCTGGATGTCCCTATTAATATCTGTATTAATAAAGGTTAAGCTACCTTCCTTTAAAGATCTTCTACAGAGTATATAGAAGTTAATTTCCATTTCATTAAGTTTACTTGTCAAATAACAAAACCTCAAAGGCACAATAAACACAACGCTTTCTGGAGTTATTCTCACCGCTTTAATTAGCATATCTAAATCTGTGGATTCAAACTTGTCAGGATTCAGGTGGTTTAGGTGATCAAATTGTTTTAGAAGAGCTTGGTGGTCCATGCCTATATCTGAAAGTAAATGAGAAAACTGTAAATGATCAATTACTAGAAGCTAAAAACATTATAAATGATAGATAAGATTTCATATTTATACCTGTAAGATTTTATAGGGAAATTCAAAGTTTTAGAATAAAGGTTTATATTTACTTTATGAATACTGCATATGTTATTCTAGGCAAAGGTAGTGTCCTTGAACCTAGAGTGGAATACAATGGGATACAATTTAATATGTATATTTTTAAAAATTCTCTCTTTTTTTTTTTTTTTTTTGAGACATGGTCCTGCTCTGTCACCCAAGCTGGAGGGCAATGGTACAATCATAGCTCATTGCATTTTTTACCTTCTGGGCTCAAGCAATCTTCCCACCTCAGCTTCCCAAGTAGCTAGGACAATAGGCATGTGCCACTATGCCTGGGTCATTTTTTTTTTTTTGGTAGAGATTGCCGAGGCTGGTCTTGAATTTCTGGCCTCAAGTGATCCTCCCACCATAGCCTCTCAAAGTGCTGAGATTACAGGCAGAGCCACCATGCTTGGCCTTTTGCATACTTTAATGTTATATCTAAAATGACTAGTTTTAATTATCAGCATAATTAATAACAAACCCTTTTTGAATATCTTGAAACTACCAAATATCCTGCTTTTAATTAAACTCTAATATAGTGCCTCTATCAAAGGTTAAAGTAGAATTTCTAAAAGTAAATGCTCTAAAATTGACATGAAAGAATTTACTGCATATTGTGCCAATGAATCCTTTATGAAACAATAAAAATCTAATGTAGGCAAATTCCTTTGAATTATGACTTACTTTTAAGGAAATACCAATTTTTTTTAATTTTTAGAAAACAAGTTACAATTTACTATAGTGAAATGGGTAAAGTGATGCTGGATTGTTTCAGTTGTATTACATAGCAGAGACTGTAATGGATACATAGTGGATATACACATAAAACAGCTCACCAGAAACAACCCAGTATGAGCCCTTATAGAATTCAGCAAAATGGGTACTGTACATGTTTTGAAGTTATTGGAAATCAGCTTTCATTTAGGAAGAAGGAATATACAAATATGGAATGGTGAAAGGCAAGAAAGAAATTGGTAGAGATGAATGGGAATTAGCACTATCTGTGTGAACTCAGCATTTCTAAAATATGTACATTTAACATGTATATGCAAATATTTCATATGTATATGAATATGTATGTGTGTATATATGTGTATATGCATGTCTATGTATATAGACATGCATATTTCCTAACTCCGTGGGATTAAAGTACCAAGAAAATACATTCCAGTAGCAAGAAGCGTACCTAGTGCCAGCTCCTGATCCAAAATATAGTTGCCCATTGGCCAGGCGCAGTGGCTCATGCCTATAATCCCAGCACTTTTTGAGGCCAAGGAGGGCAGATCACGAGATCAAGAGATTGAGATCATCCTGGCCAACATGAAACCTCATCTGTACTAAAAATACAAAAATTAGCTTGGCTTGGTGGCACATGCCTGTAGTCCCAGCAACTCAGGAGGCTGAGGCAAGAGAATCGCTCAAACCCAGGAGGAAGAGGTTGCAGTGAGCTGAGACTGCACTACTGCACTCCAGTCTGGTGACAGAGCGAGACTCTGTCTCAAAAAATATATATATATATATATGTTATATAATATATATGTTTAATATCTATATTAAACATAAATAATATATAAAAACATATAAATAATATATATATTTTTTTCTTAATGGATGCACGTGTGCGTCCACGTGCACACACACACACACACACACACACACACACACATATATATCCTCAGAGAAATGGCTTATTCCAGAGCTGGGGCAGGGTAGGTACAAGTTGATCCTGGAACATATTGTTATGCCAGGAAATGAAGAACTGCTAAATCTGGTTCAACCAAGTTTTCACTGAATTCTAAGTGTGGCACTGTACTAGCAGTTCTACTTATGAAGAAAAGCCTTGTTTTAAGACTTAGGCCTAAAAAAATATAACCAGACAGTGAAATATATAAAAAGACCCTTAACCTCACTCTAAGAGAAATACATATTAAAACTGCACTGTTATGCTATCTAACAGAATTGGAAAATTCCTAAAGTTTGATGACACATGCCATTAGTAAAGCTGTGAGGATTTATTGATGGTGGGTACATATATTAATACAACCTCTATGGAGGCAAATGTGGCAAATCTATCAAAATTACAAATATATAGATATATATATAATTTGATTTGGCAATTTCACTGTGGAGGAAATTATCCTAAAGATAATCTTATAGGGATACGTAGTGATATATGTACAAGACAGTTCACTAGAAATAACTTAAATATCAATTGACAGGAGCCTGGCTAAATAAATTATAGTATATCCATATAATGAAGTGCTATGCAGCTGTAAAAACAATGAGATGGTCTTTATGTACTAACACAGAAAGATATTCAAAATATATTATTAGCATATCTAAATTATTAATAAAAGAAAATATATTATTAAAAGAAAATGCACAAAAGTGTATATTTCCTTTTGCATAAAAAGAGAGGAACAATTTAAAAAACTATTTGTATTTGCATATATACAAATAAAGAAACTCAAGAATCAGGTACAGTGGCTCATGCCTATAATCCCAGTACTTTAGGAGGCTGAGACAGGAGGGTCACTTGAGGCCAGGAACAGGAGTTCAAGACCAGCCTGGACAACATAGCAAAACCTCATCTCAACTGAACTTACAAATAAATAAATAGATAGATAAACCCAAGGAGGATGATGTTAGAAGACAATGGAAATTGACAGGATAAAAAAATGTCAGGTAGATTTTGCTCTACATTTTCTATGTTTGAACCACGTGAATGGGCCAGGTGTGGTGCCTCATGCCTGTAAACTCAGTACTTTGGGAGCCATTGGTGGGTGAATCACTTGAGCTCAGGAGTTCAAGACCAGCCTGGGCAATATAGTGAGACCCCATCTCAATAAAAATAAAAATAAAAAAAAACTGCCTACTTTAAAAATTACCCTCCTCCCCAAAATTAAGACTGTTTAAGTCCTTCCTCAAATTATCAGATATTTCAATTTATACTGAATCAATGAGAGAATATTCCTTAGTTTCTAAGTTATATCAGGCTGTTTTGTTTTTCCCTGAGATGGAGTCTCACTCTGCTGCCCAGGATGGGGTGAACTGGCACCATCTCGGCTCACTGCAACCTCCACCTCCCGGTTTCAAGTGGGGTACAGTGGCACCATCTCAGCTTACTGCAACCTCCCCCTCCAGGGTTCAAAAATTATCCTGGGACTACGTGCCTGTAGTCCCAGCCACTTGGGGGCCACCACAGCTGGCTAATTTCTGTACTTTTAGTAGAGACATGGTTTCACCATGTTGGCCAGGCTAGTCTCAAAGTCCTGACCTCAGGTGATCCACCCACCTGGGCCTCCCAAAGTGCTGGGATTACAGGCATGAGCCACCACGCTCAGTTTAGACTGTTTTCTTTATGTAACAAAATTTAGTACCCATCTTGGAATAAAGAAGATACTGTCCCGGGCAGAGAAATCTCCACACATCTTAGGCCTGGCTTCAAGGATGGAACTACCTCAAGTAGTATGGCATGACTCAATTTACTTCTCATTGATATCCTTAATTTCAGGATGATGTGTATTTGGTATTAGTTTCCTAAGACTATATGTTTAAAATGTAGATTACTATACTCTTTCCCAGGGCCAGAATCTCAGATCTAGTAATCCGTATTTCTAACAAGATTTCTAGGTGATTCTCATGCAATCTGAAGTTTTAGAACTACTATTCCAGGAGTTAAATGTTCAGATGCTTATTAATGACAAAAAACCACCCAGATAACCAACCTGTGGGAGCATATCATAAGGAAACATGAACCAGCTTGAAAGCTCTCCCACTGGCTAAATCTGCTGCTTGATTTTGACTCATAATTAGAAAGTTCATTACAAGATAATTCAAGAAGTTTACCTACACTGTCACATAGTACTTTTATGATTTTATGTTCTACACTTAAAATTCATTTACAATTATTCTGATATAGGATATAAGAAACATGGCTTTACTATACCTTTTTCCAAATGGCTAGCCAGTTATACCAACACTATTTAGTTAATAATTTGTTGGGCGTGGTGGCATATACCTATAATCCCTGCACTTTGGGAAGCCAAGGCAGGAGGATCACTTGAGGCCAGGAGTTCCCTCACACCAGCCTGGGGAACACAGATGAGACCTTGTCTCTACAGACAGGAAAAAAAAAAAAATCAGCCAGGCATGGTGGCACACTACTGTAGTCTTAGTTACTCAGAAGACTGAAGTATGAGAATCTCTTGAGCCCAGGAGTCGGCTGCAATGAGCTATGATTGCACCGCTGCACTCCAACCTAGGTAACAGAGTGAGACCTGCCTAAAAAACTAAATAATAATAATAAAAATAAAAACCTATCTTCATCCCACTAATAATGAGATACCACCTTTATATTAAACTAAATTCTATTATATATTTAACTCCACTTCTGGAATTTCTATTGTGTTTTATTGGTCTTTCCACTTTTCTGCCTAAGTCATACAGTTTTAATGACTGAGGCTTAATGACATAATTTGATCTTTAATATTAAAGATTTAATATATATTGAAGGTCCAATTTCTAATATCCAGTCCTTCATTGTTCTTTTTCAGAGGTATCTAAGTTTTCTTACTTGTGTCATTTTCCTTTCCTTTTCTTTTCTTTTTTGAGACTGAGTCTCACTCTGTCACCCAGGCTGGAGTACAATAGAGTGATTTCAGCTCACTGCAACCTCTGCCTCCTGGATTCAAGTGATTCTCCTGCCTCAGCCTCCCAAGTAGCTGGGATTACAGGCATGCACCACCACTCCCAGCTAATTTTTGTATTTTTAGTAGAGACAGAGTTTTACCATGTTGGCCAGGTTGGTCTCAAACTCCTGACCTCAGGTGATCTGCCCACCTTGGCTTCCCAAAGTGTTAAGATTACAGGCATTAGCCACCATGCCCAGCCTACGTATGTCCTTTTTCATATGAGCTTTAAAAAATTCGCTTGGTCAATTCTAAATCTTCTGGGAAAAAAAACTAAATAAAAAAATATATATTTCACTTGCCTAGTGCCAGAAAAATAAATGTATATATTTTTATTGGGATTATATTTAAATTATACATTAACCTAGAGAAAACTGTCATGTTTATAACATTGAGTCTTTGTATCAAAAAGTTATTGTGTCTTCCCAATTGTGTAAGTATACTTTTACATCCTTCATGAGTATTTTAAACTTTTTGTCTGTCAGTTCTGCACATTTCTGAATAAGTTTATTCTGGGCATTTAATCTTTGTTGCTATTGTAAATGGAGTCATTTTCTTCAACACTACCTTCTAACTGGCTATTGTGTACATATGGAAAATATTGATTACTATTGATTAAGTTTACCGTAATTTTCCTATTAAGGGGCTCAATTTTCCTATTGTTTATAGTAAGTTTTTCCATTAATTATTTTGGGTGTTCCACATATACAATCATCATATCATCTGTGAAAAAAACATGGTTTTATCACCTCCTTTCCAATTACTTTACCTCCAATTTTTTTTTAATTTGGCTAGGCCGGGCGCAGTGGCTCATGCCTATAATCCCAGCACTTTGGGAGGCTGAGGTGGGTGGATCACCTGAGGTCAGGAGTTCAAGATCAGCCTGACCAACATGGTGAAACTGTCTTTACAAAAAATAAAAAATTAGCCAGGTGTGGTGGTGGGAGCCTGTAAGCTACTCTGGAAACTAAAGCAGGAGAATCATTTGAACCTGGGAGGCAGAGATTGCAGTGAGCCAAGATTTCACCACTATGCTCCAGCCTAGGTGACAGAGCGAGATCCCATCTCAAAAAAAATTAAAAATTAAAATAAAAAAAAAAATAAATGTTTTGGGTAGTACCTCCAAAGCAATGTTATTTAGTGGTGGTTACAGTAGGCAACACTGTCTTGTTTCTAATTTCAGTCAGGCTACATACTTGTGCTTTCCCACTTAGTATGATGTAACTGAATTGGATATAGCTAATCATATTACAGAAGTATCTGTTAATTAGTATTTTATTACTTTTTTTAAAATCTTTTTATTTCTTATCTTCACCCTGGAAGTATTTTATTACTTTAAATCATGAATTGGTGTTCAATTTTGTTGAGTGGATTTTCTGAATACATGGAGACAGCACATAAATTATCTCATATGACTTATGAGATAACTTTAAGACATCCTTGCATTTCAGAAATTCTATTTCATAGCTATTTAATCTTCTCATAGCCTAAAAATAAAAGAATACAGGATTCAAATATTTATTCCAATTTATCATTTGTCCTTTGACTTTACAGTTTTTTTATTTTTTTTTTGATACAACAAAATTTTAAAGACTTTTATCTCCTTAGGACTATTTATATGATAATTTATAATATTAGATTTCCTAATATTAAGTCAATCTTATATTCCTGAAATAAATCCAACTCTGTTATGAGATAAATTCTTTGGAGACATAATAATTTTGATTTTGGCATCAATACATTAACAAGAATGTGGAAGCTTTCCTTCTTTTTCTATGCTCTGGAATAGATTAAATAGAATTGACAATCTGCTCTTTAATGGTTTGACAGAATCACTCAAATCATTAAAGAGCAGACAGATAGTTTTCTTTATGAAACTACCTCATTCTGAGAGTCAGGCAAGGTGGCTTGCATATGTAATCCCAGCAACTCAGGATTGCTTAAGGCCAGAAGTTTGAGACCAGCCTGGGCAACATAGCGAGACCATGTCTCTAAAAAATATAATTTAAAAAAAATTAGCAGGGCATGGTGGTGTATGCCTGTACTCCTAGCTACTTGGGAGGCTGAGGTGGGAGGACTGCCTGAAGTTCAAGGCTTCAGTGAGCTATGATCATGCCACTGCACTCCAGCCTGGGTGACAGAGCAAGACTCATCTCCTGAAAGATTTTCTTTAAAAAAAGAAAGAAAACAAATGGTCTGGATCTGGTGTTTTCTTCTTGGGGCTAGAGCTCTGAAAAATTTTCTATTCCATTTAAGAAAATTATTCTAATTAGATTTTCTTTCTCTGCTTTCCTTTGATATTATTTTTCCTCCTTTAAATCAGTCGTTTAATTCATTACTTTTCATTCTTCCTTTTCATTGCTATAATTACGGCTAATTGCACTAATTTTTGAATGATATAAAATGTATTATCCATTCAAAACATTAAATTCTAAAAATTAAGAGAAGCCAAATCAATACCAACATAAAATTTTGACTAGAAAGACGTAGATGGCATGTGCTAATACAAACTGACCTCAACAACCAAATATTAAAATTTCCTAGCCAGGCCCAGTGGCTCATGCCTTGTAATCTCAGCTCTTTGGCCAAGGTAGGAGATTGCTTGAGCCCAGGAGTTCAAGACCAGCCTGGTCTTGAACTCACAACATAGCAAGACCCTGTCTCTACAACTAATAAAAAAATTAGTGAGGCACGGTGGCACACACCTCTGGTCTCAGCCACTCAGGGGGCCGAGGATCATGTGAGCCCAAGTGGCCAAGGCTGTAGTGAACAGTGATTGTGCCACTGCCCTCCAGCGTGAGTGACAGGGCAAGACCCCATTTCAAAGGGAAAAAGGAAAAAAAAATCCTACCTTTTGTTTAGCACTTACCTTGAATGGAATCCAACTTAGCTTTAATTAACATTCTTAACCTTCCTACTTCTTGCCTTTTCAGTTCATCGAGTTTTGTCCTCACATGGTGACTTACTAAATCCAGCTCTTTGCTTAGCCTCCCACTCTGTAAATAAAATTAATAAATTAGTTTTATCTATTGCATTCCATTTTGAGACAAAAGCAACAGCTTAAAAACAGGGTTATAATACATTAGTGATAAATGCTTTTGACTAATTTAGATAAATTTAATATTATAAAAAGAATTTCTTTCAAAAGGTATTAGCTTCAGGGTTGGGCACGGTGGCTAACCCTTGTAATCCCAGCACTTTGGAAGGCTGAGGCAGGCGATCACCTGAAGTCAGGAGTCCGAGGGCAGCCTGGCCAATGTGGCAAAATACCGTCTCTACTAAAAATGCAAAAATTTGCTTAGTGTGGTGATGCATGCCTGTAATCCTAGCTACTTGGGAGGCTGGAACAGGAGAATCACTTGAACTCAGGAGGCAGAGGTTGCAGTGAGCCAAGATTAGCTTTAATTCTAAAATCAAGATGTCTGAAGAACCATATAATTTAGAAAAACATCATTAAAGCACAATGCAGAAACTCAAAAGGTTAAATTGTAAAATGGTGTAGCCACTTCAGAAAACAGTCTGGCAGTTCCTCAAAAAGTTAAACATAAAGGGACCATCACCCAACAATTCCATTCCTAGATATACACCTAAAAGAACTGAAAGCATGTTAACACAATAACTTAAACATAATGTTCATAGCTGCATATTTATACTAGCCAAAAAAGCAGAAACCTAAATGTCCATCAACTAATGAATGGATAAACAAAATATAATATATCTATACAATGGTATATTATTTGGCCATAGGAAAGTATAAAGTCCTGACATATGCTGCAACATGAATGAACCTGTAAAACATTATGCTAAGTCAGAGAAACCATATGCAACAAACCACATATTGTATGTATTGTATGAGTCCATGTATATGCAATGTCCGGAACAGGCAAATCCATAGAGATAAAAAGTAGATTTGTTGTGGTTGGGGGAAAGGGTACAATTAGGAGTTACAGCTTAATGGGCACACAGTTTCTTTTGGAGAAAATGAAAATATTCTAAAATTAGATAGTGATGATTATTGCATGACTCGGTGGGTATATAAAAAAAACTACTGAAATGGCTGGGTGCGGTGGTTCATGCCTGTTATCCCAGCACTTTGGGAGGCTGAGGTGGGTGGATTACTTGAGCACTGGAGTTTGAGACCAGTCTGGTCAACATGGTGAAACCCCGTCTCTACTAAAAATACAAATATTATCCAGGCATGGTGGCACATGCCTGTAGTGTCAGCTACTCAGGAGGCTGAGACAGGAGAATCCTTTGAGCTGGGGAGGTGGAGGTCGTAGTGAGCCGAGATCATGCCACTGCACTCCAGACTGGGTGACAGAGGAAGACTCCATCCCAAAAAACACAAAAGCAAACAGACAAACAAACAAAAAAAAACATGAATTTTACACTTTAAAAAGATAAATTTTATGGTATATGAATTATATGTCAACAAAGTTTTATTTTATTTTATTTATTTTGAGGCAGGATCCTGGTCTGTCACCCAGGCTGGAGTGCAGTAGCATGATCATGGCTCATGGCAACCTCAGCCTCCCAGGCGCAAGCAGTCCTCCCACCTCAAACTCCCAAGTGGCTGGGACTACAGATGCATACCACCATGCCTGATTAATTTTTGTATTTTTTGTAAAGATAGAGTTTTGCCATGTTGCCCAGGCTGGTCTTGAACATCTAAGCTCAAGCAATCTAGCCACCTCAGCCTCCCAAACTGCTGGGATTACAGACATGAGCCACCACACCCAGCCTTTTTTAAAAAGTTAAGCTGGTCAGTACCATCTGAGCAAAAAAGAACATTTAAATTAAATTAAAAGTCAGTTGGCCTCCATAAGCATTAGTCATTCCATATATAAAAGCTTTTCAAAATTCATCTTTTTTAGGTCTCCTTTGGTTACTTTTTTCATAGATGAATGATTAGTAGGAAAACTAGGAGAATATACTGTTACAGAATCAAAAAGAGCAGTATATTTCAAGGAGATAATAATCATTATTATGGTATTATTAGGTAAAACAATGGTTGTCAAAATGTAGTCCCTAACTGGAAGCATCAGCATCACCACGGAATTTTAGAAATGCAGGCCCTAGAGTTGCTGAATTGGACACCCTGAAGGCAGGAACCAGAAATATGTTTTAACAAACCCTGAAATCTGAAAACTTTTGAGATAAAATAAAGGAGCCCAGTAGGATGAGGAATCAAAGGTGTTAGGGTGTTCACTGGATTTGGCAATTAAGAAGTCATGGACACCCTCCATGAAGGCATATTCAGTGGAACAGTGAGGGCGGAACCATACCCTTTCCAGTTAGGGAATGTTTGGGAAGTGAAGAAACGCAGTATTATTCTCCTTTCAAAATGCTTAGCTGAAAAGGAAAGAGAGGCCGGGCACAGTTGCTCATGCCTGTAATCCCAGCACTTTGGGAGGCCAAGGCAGGGGGATCACTTGAGGTCAGGAGTATGAGACCAGCCTGGACAACATGGCGAAACCCTATCTCTGCTAAAATACAAAAATTAGCCGGACATGGTGTCCCGTGCCTGTAATCCCAGTTACTTGGGAGGCTGAGGTGGGAGGATCACTTGAGCCTGGGAGGCAGAGGTAGCAGTGAGCCAAGATCACGTCACTGTACTCCAGCTTGGGTGACAGTGAGACCCTGTCCCC